TTGCTAAGAGAATTTGCAACAAAGAGTTCCACAGGCTTTAGCTATCAGTCAGGACAGACAAATATCACTTAAACCTCTGCCTATTTCTAACTCTTCTTAAAATCCATTAAATATTACGAAAGCAAAGTCAACTATGTTATTGTTGTAGAAATAGTAGCTGTTTTGTCTCAGGATTTTAACTGACCCATAGATTAAATTTAAGATGTCTTAGGACAAATATAAAAATCACCCAATGCTTTTTAAAATGATGGTATATCAGAAAGATCACCATGAAATGTCCAATGATAGGGTTGAAAGTGCCTTCACTTTAGCCAATGATAGTAGTTACTGTTACCCACCATCATCCACCTCAGTTCTAGTAGCTAACATTTATTTAGCATTTACTTGTGCCAGACATTGTACCAGTGCTTTACCTGCATTATTACATTTAATCCTAGCATAAGAAAGATATACTTTTATTCTTCCTGTTTTACAAATGAAGTACCTGAGATGTGGAGAGATTGGGTAACTCTCCCAGTATTATAACTATTAATTAATTAATGTACTGCCTGCATTCAGACCTAGATTTGTGTGAGTCTGGAACCTGTTTAGGTGAAAAATGACTATAAAGACCTGCCTATATATTCATTAGGATCAGATACAAGTAACAGAAGAAATAAAAAGATGGCAGTTTAGTTTATCCATTTCCCTTGTTTTTAAGGGATTTGGGGAGAGTCAGTCCAGAACTGGTATGGTATTCCATGTTGTTAGAGACTCACGCTTCAATTATCTCATTGCTCTTCCAATGTGTGTCTTCTATTCCTGAAGTCACCTAATAGCTCAGTATAGCTGCTGGAGCACCAGTCATCACATCTGCATCCTAGGAAGTAGGAATTCACACTCTAGTTCTATTTCATGCCTTTGGTTTGAAGTTAGTCACAAGGTCACACCTAGCTTCAAGGAAAGCTAGGAAATGTAGTCTTCCTTCCGGGCAGCTGTGTGCCCAGCTAAAACTCAGGAAGAGTGGAGAATAAATGTGGGGAGTGGTTCAAATAACACTGTGCTGCTGTCATATTTTCAGGTGCTTTTCCCATAATTTGGATGAATGTCAGATTTTTATATTTTTTCACCCAGTAATATTTGTATCAGTTTTAAAAAATCAACTCAGAAAAATGCTGTTAAAATGTTCCTTATATTTTACATTCAGACATTTCACAAGACAAATTAGAGCCCCAAATCTAATATGACATAAAGCAAAAGCTTGACATTATCATTTGTCTACTACATAGTGGCCGGTCCTGCCCTTAACACAACATGAGAAGGGGAGTCTGCTACCAAGGAATATTCTCTCGGGCATGCTTCTATACTCTCTTGGCAATATTTTCCTGCTTAACCATCAACTAGAAGTCACAAGAGAACAAGTTTTCTAGCTGCTGACTCTCTCCTTTATACTGTGACAAAATCTGAGCTGGAAGGTGAGCTGTGAACTTTCATTCATTCGATAAAAAATTCCAGCTATTGTGCTGGGTGTTTCATTAGTAATACTAACAATAGTATAAGTCTATGTTCTTGTTTATTTGCCAAAGGTTTTACGTGCCTAGCATCTGCTTTGATCTTCATCACTGGAAATATAAATGTACATAATCACCAAGATCAAACTTTTTCTTTGTTCAAAAGAAGTATTTATTAAGCTCTCTATTCTGGGCACTGGTTAGCCATGCAGAGAGGAGACCCAATAAATAACACCTCTCACTACCTGAGTTCAGAGCCAATTCAGAGACAAAATAAAGGGGTAGGGTAGACGAAGATGAAATTGTCATCTTTATTACTGATAAAGGCCGTGTTAGGACGTGCCTTAGGTGTGCGGCAGTGGTGACCTTCCTAATAGCGGACCCTTAAGTTCGGCAGGCTTCACACCCAGTCTCAGGCGATGCTAATGACCACAGACAGCCAACGTGGGGCCCTCCCGATAAAACCTGTGGGACCAGGGCACCAGCTGATAGACTGACTGAGACAGACTTGCTCTACCGCCTGGAGGAAGGCCGAGGTTATACCAAGGAGTGCGCCTCCCCACGGAGTGAGCAATAACGTTCCCCCACAGCTGTTTCTGGCCCCCAGAGATCGACCTGGAAACACAGAGGAAGCTCCCCTTCATCACAGAGGAACTGTTTCCTGCCTGTCCAGCTTTTCCCTTCACCATCCTCCAGCTCCCCTGACGGACGCAGAGGCTTCCTAGGGGCTGAAGTCCCCTTTTCTACCTTCAGGTGCATCAGCTGTGTCTGTCGGTCGGCCGACCAATCCCCTTCTACTATCCTTCTCCCTGACCACCTTTCAATGAGAGGTGGCCATGACTTTTTGGTTTTGGATGCTGAGATGTAGGTAGAAGCTCCTGGGGAGGATGCTATCCCCAATCTAAAAGGCAGAGCCTTTCCAACGGAGGAAGTTTTTTTGGCCCTTCATTCTTCTTCCATCTTCCTGCCTGGAATGCGCAGATGGGGTCCAGAGGAGGAGCAGCCATCTTGCAATGAATAGGCAACTCATACAAGGATGAGAAATGGTCCCCTGCTGAGAACATGGAGCAGAGCTGGAAAATGCTTGGATCCCTGACGACATTGAGGAGTGCCTTTATGGGATGTGGACCAGTTATCTCAAAGATCCCTAAATGATGTGTGATCCTTGCTGTGCTATGGGCTGAATGTTTGTGTCCCCCCCAGATTTGTCTGTTGAGACCTAATCTCCAAGATGATGGTATCAGGTGGTGGGCCTTTGGGAGGTGAGTGGGTCATGAGGGCAGAGCGCTCATGCATGGGATTAGTGCCCATGGGAGGCTCTAGAAAGCTCCCTAGCCCCTTCTGCCATATGAAGACATAGCAAGAAGACAACCTTCCACACACTGAGAAACTTGCTTTCTCCAGACTTTGAATCTTGGACTTCCCAACCTCCAGAACTGCGAGAAATAAACTTCTGTTGTTTATAAGCCACTCGGTGTATAGTATTTCGTTATAGTAGCCCAAATGGACTAAGACACTATGCATTAGAACCTCGGAACACTGAATTTTGGTTATCAGGAGCTATCCTTCATTTTTAAAATATTCTTTTGGAAACAAGTATTTGACTTGACACGTTCTGGCATCGAAGGCAAATTAATGCTTTTGGAGTTCAATATTCTTTAACTTTCTTGTTTGAAGCATGTATTAATATAGTTTAAAAGTTAAGTGGGCCTGAAGGATGAGTCGGCTGGAAGACTGAGAACAATTTGAAGAACTGACCTCTACATCTAGCACTTCATATTCCTAATGTTCAAGCTAGAAGGGAGCTCAGGGAGCTTCCAGCCCAGAGAGTCTCAGGTCGCTTTAACCATGGACCTTGGACTTCCCTGGCGGTGCTTCCAGGCTGCCTTGGGGGATGTAAAAAAGAAAGCTGAGCAGATGGGCTCGATCCCTGACCCTGGTTTAGCCAGAATGCCTCCACTTTTCTCTGGGCTCTCCACTGGGATTCCTTGTAAAATTAATTCAGGAGAAAAAGGCAGGGAAAGTTTATGTCATCAAATTAAGTTCAAAATTACTTGTGTAGTCAAAATTAAGTTTAAAAACCACTTATGTTTTCCAACATTCTTATTTTATAAATAAGGAAGCTGACACTCAGCAAAGTTCAAAAGACTTGATCAAGTGGCTGACTACAACTGAGTTTCCCAGTACCCTCCCTTCCTGTTCCTATATATTGTTATTCCTAAATTAATGCTCAATTTCCACAGATTATGCAAGAGGAAATTTTCTCCAAATGTTCATCTCTGTGAGATTGGATTTCTTTGGAACAGCTCCACATCCAGGAAGCTCACAATAGGAAAGCCACAGGACTATAAACCCCAGTCATAGAGAAAAAGGACTTAATAAAACTGAAAATTTCAGAGGTATATGGAATTCAGGTTTGGTTTGATCAGGGCTCTCATTCTGTAAGCCCTGTTCTCTTCCATGGGCTAACTCAGTCTGGTTCCCCACATGATAGTTGCCTGAGGGGACAAGCATGAGAATGCTGAAATCGTGAAATAATCCTGACCTTTGCTCTGACTGGCCATCTACTGCAGCAAGCTGTCCTTGTTTCTAAGGACAACTGCCTTGTGTTCTTGGTGTCTGTCTAATGATCTCTTTATCATGCCTATGCTTATTCATGGTTTTATAAAAGTCTCTCTTTAACTGAATTATCTTACATGATCTAGTGATAAATTTCCTTATTTTCTCCATCCCTCTGGTAAGGCTTTACCAGGGGTGTTTTCTTCCTAGTGCCTCATGATTTAGAGTTCTATATTATGCCGGCTTCATTTTTGACATTGTCCAACCTGAAAATCTGGATGGAATTGCTTAAGATTTGTAGCATTTGCCATCAAAGTGATCTGGAGAGTGGTCTGCTCATCTTTTCTAGTTGATGCGGTTATATTCCCTCTGTAGCATTTCTTGAGTATGCTGTCTGTCAAGATGACCATGGAAAGGGAGGCTCGGGCCTGGGGGTATAGGGCAAGCACCATAGTGGGTCGAGGTGGCTCAGGGAAACTAATGTCACCAGACCTCTCCGGCTTCAAACACTGCATTGGGAGACCCTCTACTGCAGAGAATTGGGACTGGGGCCAGGGGATATGTCCCAGACTCTGAACTTTTGAAATATCCCTGTGCTTTCTATTTTGTCTGGATTAGCAGCAAATCCTTTAAATCAAAATGACCTGTGTCTTTGTTCCTAACAACAATAAAAAAGGATAAAGCTGGCTTGGGGGAAAGGAGCCCTAAAGCAGGAGTAGAGGGTGATGGGGAGTCAGGGAGAAAGGGATGAGGGGGCCCCACGAGAGGCTTAAGAACGGAAGGCCTGGATTCTTGACAGAGTTCTTGCTCCCAAGGGTATATAATGGGAGGATAAGGGAGACAGCTGGGGGCCCTTTGGGGATTTTGAGGACTATCTCAGTCAAAATACTACCTGGTTGTAATTTCATTTGCAGAAGGTTAAACTAAACAAATAAATCAAAGGAAGAAAAATGCCGCATGAGCAACAATTTTTATAGCGATGTATATGTAACTGTACATAATGCTATATTTGCTGCAATAGCAGAAACAAAAAGCCTTTTGAAGGTTCGAGGACAGAGAAACGGTAAAATAAACCAAGATATAGATACAATAATATGCATCCATTGTAGGAAACGTGTATGATGACTCTTTAGAATTATGCTAGCCAATACTGGAGTCACTAGCCACAAGTGGCTATTTAAATTTGCATTTGAATTACTTAAAACTAAACAAGATAAATTCAGTTCCTCAGTTGTTCAAGTGCTCAAGAGCCACATGTGGCTAGTGGCTACCGTCAAAATGCAGGTATTGAACGTTTTCATTATCGCAGCACTGCCCCAGAAAACTGGAAAAATGTTTACACGTGATCATTCAAATGAAACTCAAGCAGCTTGAGAAGCGTGTGTACCGATTACACGAGGTAAAAATCATGTACATGCATGGATAAAGATGAGTCAAGACAAGGAAGCATTCAAATTATTTCCACCTGGGAAATAAAGGCACCAGGTGGGTTTAAACATTACCTTTTAGAGTGGCCTGGAGTTCAAATGCTAATACGTGAAATTTTTGAAAACCTTCTTTGGGAAGCCAATTGTACCTGCTGCCCCTGGGCTAGACACAGAGAAGCCATGGAGGTGGCATCAAGAGATGGGAGAGTAAGGTTCTTATGCTGGCTTTGCAGCTATAATAGCTCTCTGATGTCATGGAAGTCACTGTGGCTCTCCCGGTTCTTCCGTCAGATGATCTCCAAGATCTCCTCCAGCTTAAAGAAATGATTCTCTTAGTCTTCCAGTGGAGGGCAGGTGTTCAAGGGGGCTGTTATGCTGGTTCCCGGGAGGCTGCAGGAATGGGGAGACAGAGGCAAGTGACCAGGTAATGGGGGAGTTCAGCAGAGTCTGGCGATCACTGGGGATCCCAGGGACCAATGAGGAGGGGTAGAAAGGATTCCTGAGGATGGAGAAGGTGGTCAGTGACAAGATGGGGGATTGTATTCCAGAGACTAAAGAGCTATAAGAAAAATGGCATCTGTGTTTATTACATGTTAGAGATGACTTTGTATAGGACCTAAGCGAAGCTGCAAACACAGCTGAGAAAATCCCAGTTCTGTCTGGTTTCTCAGAAACTCCGCCCCTGTTTTTCCGCTGGCTCTCTGGTTATAAGTGGTTCACCAAACATCCTCCCATTGGCTGGTGAATAGCACTCAGAGGTGGGCACTTCTTCCATGCGTTCGACTCCTTCTCTGATGTCAGATCATAAATCATACTTCTTGAAAATCACTTATTCTTGAACATTTCCTCTCTGAATTGATTTTACAGTTATAGCATTTTGTCTAAATCATTCACATTTCATTTTAAAGTTTGAAGATATGAAGCTTTTCATTCCATTTCCTCCTTATATTTTTTTAAAATAAACATCACACAGAGAAATGCTTCTACTAAATAATTGATATTATCATCCACCTTTATGATTCTGGAGGCATTATAACTAAACATTCCCATGCCTTTGGTATGTATCATATAAATTATGGTGTGCTTTCCTGTTTATACTTTTATTGTACATTTAAACAGAGCAAACTATGTGAATCTGTACTTATGAAACCCTCTAATAGTGCAAAAAAATGTGCATGGTTGCTGTGTATGTGTGTGCGTGATCTACACACTCATTGAGTAATGAGCCACTTACTATATGTCGTATCCTGTGGGAGATCAAAGTTGAAAAACACATAGTTCTGTCTGTGAAGAAGCTTGTAATCAAATGAACATATGCTTTGATAATTTCTGGACAGCCCCCGAATTAGAAAAATATTAGGTCCCAAAAGTATGTTGTAAAGCCAATGGCTCAGAACCTAAAAGCCATTTTTCCTTATAAAAATTATATGTTTAATAGTTTTCAGATTCAGTCTTCCCCAGGTGACTACATGCATAATATACCTGAGCATAAATATATTTAGTGTAATTTAATTCAATTTACCAATACATTTATGGCTTTCTAAGGAACTAGAATACAAAGATGAGTGAGATATATTTCTTGCTCTCAAGCAGCTCATAGTCTGGTAGAGAAGGCAAATTAGTCAACACATAACTGCCAACAATGGGTGGCTTCATGGAGAGCATGATTGCCAACTTACCAAGTACATGGGCACTGTTGCTAAGGGACAAACCCGGAGGCCTGGAACACATTTTCCACTGACGGAGCTCTGGTGGTAGAAGAGGAAGGATCTGCCTCTCTTACTCTTCCGATCTGCTGATCAGGCTATGGAGAAGCATCGGTTTCAAGGTAGTAAGACCGTGGCCCAGAGCAAAGGCGGAATGACTTGTCAGACCAGGACTTCCTGCCAATGCAACTCTGCAGGCTAACTTCCTGTTTTCCCTTGCTCTTCGTCAGGAACCAGGAAGGACAGCCTGCTTTTCTTCCACTGACAACACCATTGATTTCTTTCCTTTCCTGACCCATTGTGCAGCTAAGAGGAACCCATTAGGAGCTTCTGACTGCTGTTGGGATAAAATCCAACCACCCGTTAGGGCTGGTCCTCATCAATGTCTCCATCTTCTCCTCAGCCACACCCCGTGTTTTCTTTGCTACAGCCATGCGATACTCGTTGTTCCTCAAGCATGCCACGTTCTCCAGTCCTTTCCTCCAGTTTGTCGTATATACTCTTCCTTTGGCCTAAAGTCCTTTCCCTTCTACTCTTGGCCAGGCTGAAGCCCTGTTGTTCACCCATCCTCAGCTCACATGTCATTTCCCTAGGGAGTTCTTCATTGACCTGAGATGAGGGAGCTCCGAGATGACCTGGGACATCGCTTATCTTGGTCCTCATCAGACTTCATGTGATTATTCCCTTCACTCCTTTCTCCAGAGGGAGGGCACAGACCACACCTTTCAGGTTCACCATTGTATTCCAGGGCCTGGCCCAGAATTTGGTGGTTGCAGGGTGGGCTTCATGGGCATGCAACCTGTGCAGTTGCACAAGGCCTTACGATCAGAAAAGTGGGTTTAATGCTTTGCTTGCACCATCTTGAAAATTTTTAATAATTTTTGACAAGGGGCCCTACATTTTCATTTTGCAGTGGGCCTCACAAATTATGAAGCTGATCCTATAGGGATGAATAAATGAATTAGTGAATATGTGTTATCCTTAAAATATATTGAACAAAGGAAATTAAGCCTTCTGAAACCCTAATTCTGAACAAGAAAAAATATATCTATTTGCTATTTTTATATATTCTTTGTTCATGTGAGGAAAGAGAAGCAGTACCTGAAATGCACCGTCTGTTCTGTGACATGTATTTTCATTTAAAGTTACTTTTTATTCAACCACAACATTTATGAATTAAAAAAAAATCAAGTCCGGAATGATTTACTTTGTCTTGTACCTGATTCATTATAATTGGAAAGATGGGTATAACTTCTTAAAAAGGAAAGAAAAAGGAGGAGGAAAAATTCTGCAAAGAGTAAATGCCACCTAGACTTCTACCTTTTGAGGGCTCATGAACGTCAGCAGAGATGTCTGTTTGGGTTGTAAAAGCAATATTAGAAAAGGATGAATCTCAAAGGAAAAAAGATGCAGGGTGTGGATATTCCATTCAAAAACTCAAGACCACCATTCAAGAGAGACTATGTCTGGGCTTCAAGCTTTTAAAGCCTGCAAAGGACCTCCTGGTAAGCTTTGTGAGGGTAACAGGAGAGCTCTAGTTCTTTTATTAAGGGCCTCTCGGAACCAGCAGGACCCAGTGGCTGTCTTTACTATCTTTGATCAACTGTGGAGAATGTAGATTCCAACAGAGTGGGGCCTGGAGTTTCTCTACCATTTTGAGAAGCTGATTTCTTCTCACTCCCATGGGTCCAGAGGACCACCTCCAGGTCCAGCTATGCAGATCACTTGCTGTGTGACCTTGGTGATTTCCTGTCTCCAGATCTCAGCTTCCTTGTGTAAAGTTGGAGATAGATGAAGGCTTCACGTCACCTCCACCTGGGTTCCAGTACCCTGAGTCTCCGTCCCCAGGAGTCTGGAACTCACATCCTGATCTCATCCTCTGGGTTCATCCTCACCAGATCCCCATTTGCCACTTCCTGAACCCTCCTTTCTTGCACATGCTGTTGTCTTGTCCCCATGTCCTAATGAATACTCTCCCCTTGCTCTCCACACTTCCTTGATTTGCCTGCCTCATGCCTACTCCTCCTTCAAGGAGGTAAGTGCCACCCTGCCCAACGCTGTCTCGAGTTTCACCCTCCACTCCGCATTCAGCACAGTCCTGCCCGGGGACTCTGTGCATTCTCCCAGCCCTCTGCTTTCTTCAGTTCTAGCTCTTGTCACGCTGCATCATCATCGTCTACTTCCTTGTTTGTTTCCCTCAGGAGTCCCAGAATTCTTTGGGGGCCTGGACTTTGCCTCTTCAATATCTAGCACAGTCACTGGGACATAGTAGGTGTTCAATTAATGTTTGTGGAATAAATGAACAAATGAAGGAATGAATGAATACCTCATTATCATCCAATAGAAAGCAGTATTTCGCTTAACTGGGCCTCCTGGAAACACAGTGCCTTAATGAGAGAGAGTCAAGTGATAGCAGTTTGGACTGGTGGGAAAAAGGGGTCCCTGTGCCACTCAGCTGACCCTTCTGCTTGGCCTAGGCCCAGTTGGCTCAGCCTATAGTGTAAGTGTGGAGAGTAGCAACAGGAGGCATCAGGAAGCTCCTTGGGTTTTATTGACCTCGCCCACATTTGCCAGACATCCTTACCGTGTCTTAATGGGACTGGAAGTAGGAAATAGGAGAGGGACACAGTTCTCCCCACACATTGTAGATCCTGCCAGGTTTGCACAATTCCTCCTTCAGAGATACCCAAGAGTGTATGTCAGAGACACCATCCCTAGGCTTAGCTATGGGAGTGATGTAGCTGATAGAAGTCGTGTATTCAACATTCATGTAGCAGGTACTATGCTGGTGCTGGCGCAGATTCATAGAAAACCACACATGATATGTGGCTTCAAGAAGCTAAGAGTCTATTGCCGGAGCCAAGCAGTGAACAGAACGTTATAGTGGATTGACAATTAGGTAATCTTTTTTAACCTATTCAGGATGTGAACAGCTAAATAAGCCCAAATCTCTGCTTTTATGGAAATGGAAATGTCAAGCTGATATTAGAAATTTTTTAATTAATCAAGTCCTTTTATTTACATGATCTTTAGCCCTCACAGAAACCTTATGAATTAAGTATAATTGTCCTCTTTTTAGATAAGAAAACTGAGGCTTAGAGAATTTAGGTAATTTGCTAGAAGTCACCTAATTTTCAGGAGTATCTTGGCATCAGCACCATTCAGACCGTTCTCCTAACTCTACTCCTGGATATTCCATCGTCCAGAAGCCCTGGTACTCAGGAAGCAGAGTCTAGGGCTCACTAAGGTCCCGAAGTGCCTTTGAAATGATCAAGAAGATGATCAGACTCAACATATTTAAGTTGTGTGTTTTTCATTCTTTGAAAATTAGACATCCATGGAGGGCATGTGAAATAGTAGGAGCAGTTCTGGGCATGAGGAAGGGAAACTACAGCCTGGGGTGGAGGGGTTGGTTGGGAGGGAGGTGAGACAAGATCTGGGGCTCCTCTGGGTATAGGGAGTGACTTGGGGTGCTACTCTGGCAGCAGAAGCTGGGCTGGGGAAGGAGGCCAAGTGGCCCAAGGCGTAGTCATCAAAGGACAGTGCATACTCAGGCTAAGTCTAGACCAGCGTTGGCACCAATTGGCATCAGCTGAGGTAATCCAACACTTGGGAGTCAGACAGGATACTAGACCATGGCCTAGAGCATTGCAGTCGATGTGACCAAGGCCAACACCGAATCTGAACACAGGCCTGCCTGACTCTCCTCCCCCCAGATAGGTGGACAGTAGTACTCCAAGGGGCTCCATGGCACCCAGGGTGCACAACATCCAACTCTGTTTGACGTTACGACTGAATTATTAAGTCTCACCCTCCACGGTGTATCTGAGGCTACTAACCTTTTGCCCTAGCTAGAAACTGAGGCATGTCTGGGCCTGCCAGTGGATGGAGCCAATAGGAGATCTCGTCCAGGCTAGGCAGAAGCCAGGGAAAGGAGGAAGGGCCTGGTAGTAAATGTGATACCTTGCAATTAAGTGGAAGAGTAAAGAACTCAGAATACCGCATTCCTCAACCATTCTGAAATGAGTTTACTGTAATTCCAGATAAAAACAAAACTGTCAGAGCTGATACTTAGAGCCTCGAGGCAAGGCTGGTCTATTTTTTTCTACAGTTTCAATATAATTCAGCACTTTCACTTTGCAAAGCTAGACCTGACCTTTATGTGGTCTGCAGAATGCTGACTCAACATCAGGGTAACCAATGGTGCAATCATGACATGAAACAAGACTGGTGGTTGTCAGGGTTTTTAAATCTCCTTACTCGGGCTATCCCACGATCTCTGAAAACTCCAACTTTATCAGACATTAGAGCCCTTGTGAAACAGAGGCCTGGATATGCATACATTCATCTGAAACCTTTTTTAAAAGGATTTTTTCCTAGTTTGTAAGAGAGAGAGCGCTGACGTAGCTTAGGTCTTTCCTTCTTTCTGACAGTACTACAAATGGCCACTGAAGGGCTGACATAAAAGGAAAGGGGAAGGAAGAGGGGAGAAAAGAGGAAGGGCCATGGGGGACGAGGAAGTGCCCGCCAGGAAGGCCCACTTTTACTTCCTTAGGAATATTTCGTCCACTTCCAAAACCCTAACTCGCAGTGTTCCTGGAAAAGAGAAAGGCTTGGGCTCTCGCACATGTCTGTTTGTATGATTCTTATCTGCCTTGATTTTATGGTTCCTCTGGAATCAAACTGTGAATTTAATTATTCCCCATGTGAAAAACATAGACAAAAGTTCCACTCTCTCCTCCAAAACACAATGCACCACCCGCCTCCTTACCCCCACCACACTTCAAAGCACCAAATTGACGTCGTTGACATAGTTATCGTAAATCAAATCTGCTGTGCACACCAGTAAATAGTGCCGGTAAGCCAGGTGTAACCGAATCAGATTGTTCAGCCTTGACTTCCAATGGTGAGAACAAGTATGTGCTGACAGATGGGAAAAGTGACGAGGCATGGGTGTCCCGCACCTACCCTTTCAGAAGACATGGAACATTGCTGGAGTGTGGGACAAGGACAACCTGGAATCCCTGATGATCCAGTGCTCTTGAGGGACAGACTAAGGAGAAGCCAGATGGGGTCACGTTTTAGAATTTCATGTGGCCCCCGGGTGTTCCTGGTGAGTTCTCTGCAAGAATAAATGTGCACTCTGGTACAGATAAAAGGGAAGATCCGGGAAATGACCTGTGATCTGGCCGATGGGACCCAAGCCCTGGCTGAAGCCTCAAGCAACAGCCCCTGAGCCAAGTCTTCTAAGTTGTTCCTGACGCTCATACCGCACCTTCTGTCCTTGTTCTAGAAACACGAATCTTGTCTTCGTCCTTATTTCATCCCTTGTGTCTTCATCCTTATTTCATCCCTTGTGTCACGTTATATCCCACCTACAGACCGCTGATAGCCTTCCTTAATGTTGCCCACAGCTGCTGCATTGATTTCTTCTAGTTTTGCCTCCTCCCTGTTCCTCCTTTCTGTGCTGTCCTCCCTTCCTCCCTCACACTTCCCATACCCAGCCTTGGACCTCCCTCCAGCTGAGTCTCTTTAGGGGCAAGTACAGGTCTATCACTGCCAGATCCCCTCAATCATTACCCCTTCCCAAAAGGTTCATTCCATTTTCTCCGTGAGGAAACTCTTCAACTCCTTAAACGGCATTTTCCATAGCATGCTTCATGATACGATCTGTGAAAATAGAGCTCTAAAGTCGAATCATGTGCTTTCCCTCTCTTTCAGATTCTTAATTTGTATTAACTTATCACAGACATGTTGTTAGTAGAGAAACCAATTTTGCTCTGTAAATCTGACTGTAGAGTTGTTTTTGCCATTGTTGCTGGTGTCGGGCCTGGGTTCCACAGGGCCCACTTTGGGAAACATTGCCCTTACCGCCGAGAGGTGGTACAGTACAGTCAGTCTCTGAGTGCCTTCATGTGGAACCACGCTGCCTCTTCCTAGACATGTGACCTCGGGTGAGCCACTTAATCTCATCTTCATCTGTAAAATCAGGCTGATCATAATATATTGCTTTATCAGGACAAAATGAGATCATTGGAGCAAGATGCTTAGAATAGCAGCTGGGATATTTTGCCTACTCAGTAAATGACATTTGTTATTATTTTTTTATGCTTTTTTGGGCTACCTCTAGTTCTGTAGTCTACAATATTTTCAAGATACTCTTTCTTGGCAATAACTAACACCCAGGACTACCACCCTGTGCAAACATTTTAGATAATTTCCTGATAATTTATGATCTTACACTGTAAGGGGCTTTACCATAAAGCCCCTTTGCCATATTTTTGCTCACTTCTGCAATCTTAGGTTTTCCTGCACCGTATTTAGTCACTTAAATAGTGCTTCAATTAAAACAAAATCTCCATGTTGGACAAAATATCAGCTTGTATCTCTCCCACAAAACATTGAAAATGATTCAGAACAAGACAGTCTCTAGAGGTTCAAATAGTGCCCTTTCTTTTGGGAGAAAGAATGACTTCTTTTTTGTGCCTATGCCAAAGTCTGAGATAAAAATTAAATTAAATTATTCCTTATTTATTTCCTTTTTCCTATGTTATCTTCAACTGTCTGATGACTCTGTCCACTCTGAGTGCAGCATCTTTTCTCCACCTGGAGGTTCTTGCTCAAAGGAGTGAAAAAACACCTTTAGAAAAACAAACAAACAAACAAATAACCAAGAAGCCCCCCAAACTCCCAAAACAAATTTAAAAATCTGCTTTATTCTCAGTTACAAATTAACACTCAATATATTCTTTTACAGATAAGGCTGAAGTTCTCATTGACTATCAACTCGATCTCAGGACACTTATCAATTTGCGGGTACACACATTTGTGCACGCACACATGTGTGCACACACATGCTGTCTTGTTTGCTTTTACATAAATTGAATACCATTTTATTTTTCAGTCTATGGCCTTTGATTAAAAAACATCTTTCAGGGGCTGGCCCCGTGGCCGAGTGGTTAAGTTCGCGCGCTCCACTGTAGGCGGCCCAGTGTTTCGTTAGTTCGAATCCCGGGCGTGGACATGGCACTGCTCATCAGACCACGCTGAGGCAGCGTCCCACATGCCACAACTAGAAGAACCCACAACGAAGAATACACAACTATGTACCGGGGGGGCTTTGGGGAGAAAAAGGAAAAAATAAAATCTTTAAAAAAAAAAAAATCTTTCATATTAATTTAATTGATTCACGTGTTATCCCTTATCACTTACAGCTATAACTTCATGCAGTAAAAACATACTCCAAGTACGAATAGTTAATACCATTAATATCTGTGGCAACTTTTTCTTATTAGATTGCTTAGGTCAGTGGTTCTCAAACTTTTCTGCATAAAAGACTCACTTGGGAAGATTTGAAAAATCTCAATGCTCAGGCTCCACCCGGGGCCAATGAAATCAGAATCTCTGGGAGGTGGGCCCAGGCATCATGACCATGTAATTCCAATGTGCAGCCAAGTCTGAGAACCAGAGGTTTAGGGGGTGTCTGGATCCTGTCTCCTGAATCCTGATTCCGAAAGACTTCTCATTCAAGTCCGTGTTTAGGTTCTGAATTTGTCACTCATCCAGGCTCCCAGGAACACAATTGGTCTGCCCGGGCAGATCAGGAGAACCTGCTCTTCACTCATGGCCTCCACCAAAAAGAAAAGCTGAGAAATAGCTTTATATTGTCATTTCATCTCTGAAAATTGGGAAATATTATAAGAGGTTCCTTTTGAGCTATCAATAAAACTTTATAAAATAATTGAGGATACCTATGGAGGTTTTTTCCCCTTTTAAAATTTACATGTCAGAAGAGATTTATTTTCCAGAACTCTGGGATAAGTCCAGCATTTAGATGGTCCTTTGGTGACAATACCAAGGATCACAAATAGCACTAATGTATGGAATCACAGATGCCAAGATTGTATAGGAAATAAACAGGTAATGATTATTAAGGGATTGTGGAAAGCAGAATAGTGAGGAGCAAAAGTAAGGACTTAAATTTAGACAAACCCATGTTCAAATATTGGCACCATCACTTCATCTGTGACATTGGTCAAATTACTCTATCTTTTTGAGGTTGTTATCTCATCCGTAAAATAAGCATAATAATGTCTACCCTATATATTTGTTTTGATGATTGTTAAAAATTTTGTCAAAATACCTAACGGTTATTGGCACATAGAGGCATTCAACAGATGCTATCTGTTATTTCCATTTCAAAGACTGAAAATAGTCCATTATTTAGTTGATAGGTGGCCTAAACAGAATTTGAACATTGATTGCCTACTACCCCGACATTTACATTCCACAATTTTAAGAGAGGTGAAATGATCCACAGGGACAGGAAATAGATTCCTTTAAGGGGGAATTTTAACAGCAGAAGTGGCTAGGCAGACTTGAAATATTTAAGTATTACCAGTCCTCACTTTGCCTCGTTCTAATATGCACAAATTTCAGTTTCCCACAGTTCAGTTAAATAGCACCAGAGCTCAACAACACAGTTTAAATTTCAGTTACATGATATATTAACTGTGAGCAATTGTATAAATACAATAAATTGCAAGCTTTGCTGCTAGCTCTTCAGTCCACAAATCCCTACGTAAACAAGATGTGCAATATGATCATGAATAATCACATCACTTCTTTCAAAGTCTGTTGGTGATTGGTCACTGGGCATCTGTTATTAAATTCGT